AATCGTTGTATTTTCGTTACCTTAGAATAAGCTGTTTTTATCTACTGGTCACCCTCCCTGGACTCCACTATGTTGAACCGCCATGTTTCTACAGGAACATAGAAGGGACAAACCAAACACTGGCTCTAGATAGGGTCTTTTGCATTTTTTTTCTTGTGGCACGTAGTTTAAAAAAAGACTATAAAGGCCTATATATAAAGGCTATACAAGTACAGGTACAGTTACCATTGACTCTCTACCTCCAAATTTTTCTCATTCTAAAAGGTAATGAAAACACAACGAACGTAATTTTTTGGATGTATGAATTAATAACAATTGCATTTGTGTGTGATTGTAAGTTCTATCTATTAGTCTGGCATTAACCTCTAACGGACCAAAAACCCTCTGGACACAATTGGATGTATTACATTTAATCAGAGCAACGAAACGTGTGAGAGGGAGCATTGGTACAGTCTTTGACCTCACGTTGCCTCTTTGTTTTTTTTGGTTAAAAGAGAAAATAAATCAGCTGAAATGGATTCAAAAGTACCTGCAGCTGTGAAAAGATAAAGCAAGGCTGCTGAGTCTGTGAGTGAATGGATTAATTAAAATGAATGAGATGAACTGTGGCGTATGGATGCGTTTGTAAGTAGACCATGTGGGCGTCTACCTTCTACACTGCCAAACCAGAAATTCTACATCATCGAGGTAATTTTCCTAATCGGATCAGTTAATCCCTGGGGCCAAGTGTGAAAGCATTCTAAATGGAAATACGCAGCTACGTACAAGGGAAAAAGGGCAGTTTATGGCGTCATTCATTTCAACCCCAGTTTCAGTTGGACAGTACAACTTTATGGACCTTTTTTAAAGCAGCCATTGTCATATGAAACAGTACCACAGGTGTCACCAATGATATTAATTAAGGTTCGGTTCCATTTAGTGAAGCAGAGCCAACATACACAATAGCAACACCCTGACTCTGTCTGACCTGAATGGAACAAAACCTTTAATTTCATTGGTGTTAAAGAGCTCACAAAACATATTTCAAATGCATCACCTGCATCTTCCTTTGCTTGATGTAGGCCGGCTCAGCATAGCCACAGAAGAATCGCTTGTAGTGCGCCCCCATCAGGCCAGGGAGCGAACGTAACAGCAACTAGAAGAAGACAAGGACACCATTTCATTTCTCAAACTGATACCTAGAAGAATCATTACCATCCCATAAAGTTCTAATGCAATGGAAATGTTTTTACCACTCTGGTAAATAGGTCAAACCTTGGATTTCACTTGGCAACAGGAGAGGTTTCTAGTTCCCCTCCGCTTAGAGAGCTCTTTGGCTCAGCTACGAGCCACGAGAATTGCTTATACAAAGTATGAGTAAGTTCAGAGGGGCAGTGTAGAGGCTTGTGTGTTACAGTCGCCATCTTGTGGTGTTCAGAGGATGAGCTACTGAAGGACTACACCTTGTCAGATGCTGTCAGATATATTTAGGAAGGCAGGTGGGTTTTATAATCATATTATAATCAGAGATATTCAGATTTAGTTTTCATCCAATTTATTTCAGTGCATTGATTTAAAACGTTGACAGTTTCACTGGAACTACTTAGTAGGTGTACTACATCAGGTATTATTGGACACCCAGCAGACAATCTGAATCCAGGTAAATAGTACTTATACTCTATAGCGCCTTTCTAGTCGTTAGACCACTCTGTACACTACATGCCACACTAACCCCATTCACACACATTTTTCTGTGTGGAGCATGAAGGAAATCCAAACATTCATTTTGTTGTATAATAATAAATAAATGTCCTTAAAAAAACAGAAATACAAAGGCTTTAGGATAAAACTGTGTTTCAGGTGCTAACATTACCACAGGCTGCATGCAGGACCTTTAAAAATCAAAAGTTCACACACACAACTGGCCTGTCATATACAAAAGGGATGGACACATGTAAGTGATGGCCCTGTTACACACTGGACCTGTGTAACTGCATGTGTGATCCTGTCTGTATCTGTCTGTGGTGTAAAAAAAGACTAAAAAGGCCTATATATAAATACATACTATACAAGTACAGGTCCAGTTACCATTGACTCTCTACCTCCAAATTGGAATTATTCACACTGACCTGTATGTGGCAGAGGGCAGTGAACCTCAGCTCTCTGGACACGCTCCCACAGGCGGCCAGCAGGGGTCCACGTACTCGCTCTAGGGCCGCCAGACTGACAGCAGGCAGGCCTGAGCAGAGGCTGAGGAACAGGCTGAGGGTAGCGGCCATGACTTGGGGGTGGGGGCTGACTAGGGAGGCATCCAGCAGGGACAGGATGTCGAAGAGCTCGTCCTCTGACTGAGGCCGGTAGCGCTGGAGGATCCTAAGCACCTCACACTGACCCCAAACATCGGACTCCTTCAACCTGGGAGGACAGACGCACAGAGGCTTGTAGACTTCAACCTCAAAACGCTGCTGAAGTGTCTTTGAGCACTGTTTGAGGAGTTTATAGGCTGTTTTAGGTACATACTGAGCCACGCTAGCAGCCTGAACGAAAAACAACCAAGAACAAGAAAGATGAGAAGTTTATTGTGAGTCTTATTCCCAGAGCGTCAAACACAGATGCTTTCGGCACCCTGGGAATTACAATGAACAATCAACTATCTTCAAGCCCTGATGTGCATTTATCCATTTACTTAAGCCTGGCTTCACCTAGCTGCATACTTCAGGATTGGTTTAATACTTTGTGCAAAAACCAGATACAGGGGTTTAGTGGGGTTGGGGTTGTATCTATCTTTGTGTTCTGTCATCATTATTTTAAAGGAGTGTTTAGATTTAGATTTTTTCTCTTTTTTGCCTCCTGTTGTTACTTGCATTTTGTTTGTCAAAATTGGAATAGATCATTTGAGCAGCTGAAATACAACATATATAGAAATTTAGAATTATTTTACCAAGTAAGATATATTATACAGAAATCCAATTAGTATTATGAATCTTTGTTAATTAAAGACCTTTAGAGATGTTTTTTTTAAATAGGGATAAGGTAGATATTGACTGTAGTGATGGAGGGAGATGGTTCCAAGGGGATGGTCCTCTGTATTTCAGTGAATACTGATTAAGGAATGTCCGATCATATGGAAGACATAAGTCCTTAGACTGTCTCGTATAATATGAGTGAATATGAGGAAAATTTAAAGAAATTCTGGAAGGTGCTGTGAAGTCATGACTTAGGAATACATTTTGTACATGAACAAACAAGTGTGATATATGGTCACATTAAATATAGATAGAAGTGTGTATTTTCAGAAGAAAGGAGAAGATGAGTTGCATCTTTTAGCAAAACTTATTTAAAAATGTCTACTAAGAGTCCTAAGAATGGAATGTGAGAAACCTGAATTAATTAAGCGTTGACAATGAATATATTGGCTGTTGCTTTTGTACGTTTTTTATTTTTGGTACAAAATATCATAAAATGCGATTTATATATGTTTATAGAAAGTTTGTTCATCTGAAACCATTTAGAAATGAATGATAGCTCTTTTTTAATTCATTCGCTTTTCGAATCAGTGTGCTAAAATTTTCATGTGAAGCAATAAGACATGTATCATCAGCAAATAACAAAAGGCATACAAGACACTATGTTGTTCACATCCAAATGATTTTTGATTCTTGAATATACTAGTTTCTCAAGAACTTCAGAAGAACAGGATAAGCCAGATATAGGATGATAATTGGTTAATATGCTGGAATCGCCTGATTTGAACAGTGGTATGACTTTAGCTACTACACAACACTTGTTAAAACACTTGGGTCTGACCCTAACGCTTCAACTCACATAAATGGACTTTCCTGTTTTTGTTCCTGTTTTTTTTCATTTAGTGACATGTTTCTCTGATGTTTTGAAATAACCTGTTGAGGAGGTGATGGGTGATAGGTTTGTTAATGGCGATTCCTCCCTCCTCCTTCAGGATTTCCTCCAGAGCTCGGAGGCAATTCACCATCACCACGGGGTCCGGGTCCCTCAACAGGCTGTACAGCTCGTTCACCACTGCAGCATCTGGAAGAATCATGAACAAAGGGTCTGTAGAGGTAGAATGAACATAAGCGTATTCTTCATAGAATCTGGATTACAATGTTTTTACTTTATCCTTTTATGTCAGAATTTTCTTTTGCACCACAGTTTAATAATAGTACTTGATGTCTGAGAAAAAATATTTAAATTGCATGCATCTGTTTAGAGTGTTTCCCTTTTACGAGCAGTTATGAAGGAAATATCAAATAAAAGATATTTGCAAGTGTGAAGCTTTGTTAACTAAATAAAGTGTTGTATCCTCAAGCTCCAGAACAATCACCAATGGACTTATTGTTTTGAAAGGTTGCGTATAGGAGATCTAAACGATTAATATAGCAGCAAACAACTATTTTCTATGTGAAGATGCCAGAGATGTCACTCTCCCTTTGCCTGTGTTGCTATCTGTGCTTTTCTTTCTTTACAAGTCTGGCTCACTAACTGTTTTGGTGAGTTTTATGTATGATATGAACAACAAACACCAAACAGTTGGTGAAATGTTTGTGA